TTTAAAACAAAATGTCTCCGCAACAAATTAAGGTACCTAATTCATAAATAGTTAAACGCAAAGATCTAAAATTATGAAATTAAATTAAAAATTAATTAATACATAAGAAATCATTATAATACGCATGAATATCCAAAAAAAAATTTGAAATTTAATCACTCATTATCAATTTTAATAGGTTATTTTCCAATAATTTGGTTAATCACCAAACATTCTCACCTTTGTACATTTAATGAATTTTCTTCAATGTTAATAATGCATAAGAACCATAATATTTCCCATTACCTATTTAAATAATTAGTTGTGCCATTTGAGGAGTGTCCTGTGGCTTTATGAATTTCGATTACCTAATGAAAACTATATTTTTTTACTGTAAATAATTATCAAGGATTTTTTTTGAACAATATGGAATTTATAAATTAAACACAAAACTACTAATTTCTGGTTAAGTATTAAATTTAATATACCTACCTATCAATAATAATGTTATTAAACAATTATGACAATTATTTATTGGATAATAAGACTTAGCGACTATGATGATTTATAAATTGTAGTATTATTAATATTAGTTTTTAACATTGCAATAAAGAATAGAAATATGCATTATACTATTATAGTATTATTTATTACTATTATATTTAATATCTATTTTATGTATTACGTTTAACCACGGAATTGGTCTGTTAATTACCTACAAACAAATTTATTTCTTAACATCTTTTCTTTTACAAATTTAAATTATTTTGTACAGTTTTTTTCACATAAAACATAGAAATAATCAAAATACAATGTATGTACACATAGTCAGATTGTAACATTGAGACCTGACAAATGAAATAACTTTTATTCTAATCAAAATTTTTAAATTTTTTTTTATGTCTATTTGATTCACTCTTGTGCTACACTTATAATATTATTAAATTTTTAATGTGAGTGAAACCGTTTGTTGGTGTGGTGACGCTAACAAAGCAAAGCTCCTCGGAAAGCACGCAAAGCGCACAAGGTGAGTGTAAAAACACACGCGAAATATTTAATGCGTGTTTAAAATAAAGAATCATTTTTCTTAAAAAAATTAATCTAAATATTTTATTTTTGATTATGTTATGTTTATTTCCTTTAATAAACCACCCTTTCAATTGTCTTGCATTTTTTCTGTACAAAATAATTTCGATGGCTTACATCTGCCAGGCGTCCCGTGAAGGCTCACTTTCTTTATTTTTTATTTTTTAATACTGAGAATGAAAACATTTTGAATTAAATTTTTTGGAAAAGTTATGATTGTAAAAACATTTATTTAAGTCGTGTAGTTTATATTGTATAGTATTTGAAATATCTTCTTTTTTGTTAAGTATTGTTGATCCACTCATAAAAACCATTTCAAATTCAAAAAGTATAAACTTTAAAAAAAATATTTTACGAGAATTTTCGAATAAGTGCCCACTTGTTAAAATCTGAATTTTACTGTTCAAATAATTGAGTTTTAAAAGAATTTTTACATTTCAAAGAATCTTAAAAATAAGCTACGCTACTTAAATAAATGTTTTTACAGTAAACATTTTTTTAAAAACCAAATTTACGATTTTTCAAAATGAATTTAAAACAAATTAAAAATATTTTATTTTCAGTTTATAAAATATTTTATCATACTTGTATGATGAGTCAAGAGTCAACAAATACAATTAAGAAACAAAAATTTAAAAAAATATTTATGAGAAACAAAGCAATCAGAGCAATATCATTTATCAGGTGTTCCTTTTACACCAGTTGTATTGTAAAATAACATAATAATTATTTTAATAATCGGGGGTCATAAAATAATAATAATATAGCACTATGATATTCTACTTCTTCTAGTTCCTACACGCTTCGGATGTTGGAAATCATATTGAATATTGCTTCTCTTTCTAGCGATTCTACTAAACCAGTCCCGGAGATTTTTTATCCAAGATATCCTACGTCCACCATCACTTCTCTTGCCTTCTATTTTTCTTGAAGTATAAGCTGCAGCAATCCATATGTATGGTTATTTCTCATTATGTGATCCAGGTATTCTAATTTCCGTGTTTTTATAATTTTCAGTAATTATTTTTCCTTTTGCATTCTTTATGGCACGCACACGTTGGATACTCGACCTGTCCACGAGATATAACATATATATATATATACTATCTCAGATATTTAAGATACGGCGGTCCGACCACATTTCCAATGCCTCAATTTTCAAAGCATTATGATAAGAGTTTAAATTCTAGATATTTATCTCACTCAACAGAGGACGTATATAATGTAGGTACCTATAGCTAATATTGATATATTTTGCAATAAAAATTAAAAGTGTTTAGTAAAGACCTTTTAATTTATGGTATTGAGCTGTAAGCTACCTATTGTACGCGGACGTCTATTGTGTGTACACAGTGCTGTAGGTTAGTCACAGTCTGTAATAACTAACAGCTATAAGTCTTAGACTTTTCAATGTATATATATGTCTTAAATATAATATACTTTATAATTTATTACGTAACGTAACGAATTTAATACAAAATCGAAATTAAAACAAAATCCAATAATATGTAACAACTAATAATTAGGGTTCGGATGTATATGAAATAGCAAATTTTTTCTATTTATCCAATTTAATGTGAACGGGGGTACAAATTTAATTCATGTTCTACTGCATCAAATAATACTATTTTTACAATGCATATTTTCGTATATTTAATGGTTTTGTATATTAATTGGCTGATTGTGTATTTTAGGATTTTAAGAATATAAATGCATATTTCAGTAATTTCATATTATTTGAAAGTTTTAAAAAAACAATTTAAATTAACAAACTATTTAAAACCACTAGGCAATCATTAATTTCACAATTTTTATATTTACATTGATGGTAACTACAGTCGATCACGCGAATTAACAAAAATTTAATTGTTTATTTGGTTGAGGATCTTACATTTTTCAAATATACTCCAATAACATCAGTAGATGTAGAACAAAGTTTTTCGCTTTACAAAAATCTACTTTCAGATAATAGACACAGCTACCAGTTTGATGAAATTAAAAAAAAACATATTGTCACAGTGTAACGCTAATAATGTAATAATGTAACAAAAACAGTATGTAAATGTAAACATTTATTTTAAATTGTGTTAAAAAAGAATAATAAATAAAAATAACTACAAGGTAATAAAAATTAAATACTAATGATTTATAAATAATCTGATTATGATAACTTTTTGTGTATATTTTAGTGTTTTTATTGGCTAAAATTGCATATTTTATGATTTTTAGTGCATATTTGGTATGTTTTTACTGCATTGATACATACATATTACAGAAATTTTAGTGCATAAACACCCGTGCTCTACAAATTATATTCATGATGACAATGCTACTCCAATTTTTACAAACCTTAAGTTGGAAAAATGTACCAATTAAGTACAGTTGCAGCAAGAGAGGGTTGATTACTACTCCCTTGCAGTTAAATTGTAGTGTTGGATAGGCATTTATAATGGTCCTTGGACCCTTTTAAAGCGTTCAACGTGTCAATGACGGTGTAGAGAAATATACCGTGATGCTGCTCTCGAATCTTTCGATATGGCAAAAAATCAAAGCAGGTTGATAGATGATTTAGAATTTACCACTAGAGTGCGCCACCCATCTCAAGAAGACTGATTTTCATACAAGTTATATGATGAAGATTTATTACATTTAATTTTTGTATTAAATGTTGTTTAAATGTCAAAAACCTTCATTCCAACATAATAATTTCATGTTGTATTGTATAGATTCTTAAAAAAAACAAAAATATTGGAATTATGTGCCTATTAATAATTATAATAAAACAATGAAATAATATTATACGGTATAATATAATAAATATAGCCAAATACTCACTATACGTCTCCTTCACAGACATCGATAACAATCCGAAATGAACCTAATCTAGTAACCTGTAGGGTTATTGTTTGCCAGTCCCTATAAATATGTTGTTAATAATTATCAATATGCTATATGTTTCAAAGATGAATAAAGATAATAATGTGGATAGAGTTAAGTTTAGTGGAAAAAAATAATTAACAGATTGATATGGTTAATAGTACGAGATAAACAATCTTATGACCATAAAGGATGCTCGAACGGCTCAATATACATACAAGTGTGAACGCTAGGAGGATTGTAACCTTTAAATTTTTTTCGGTTTCGCTTTGATTTTTCAAAAAAATATTTTTGAGGTATCTTTTTTATTCCTAAAGCTCAAAAATAAAAAATCGAGATTGCTGTTAATACCGGTTTTAACCGGTTACAGATTCAGATTTTAAGTGGTCGTAGACCTTAGTTAACGTACTTGGTGTGTGTCTTTTGTCATTTATGTTACAAAATTTTGTTTACTACTTAAGAGTAATCAATTCTGTTGTTGATTTGTATTGGTTGAACTGAACTTTAAGGTATCATGATGCGTTCATGATTTTATGTGGTACGATGTAATACAAGTACTACCGGTAGAACATTTGTTTTGTTTTGCAGAACATCTATTCCAAAAATTGTGGAATATTATTTATGTGTTGCATGTGTATATAAGGAATACGTATGTATAATACATCATCTCACATACCATATGGATGGGTGTAATTGGATATGCTGTGTTTTTTTATTTAATATTTCAATTTTAATACAACATTTTCATATAAGTATATAAGTTATACAGTATGTAAATAAATTATGCTTTTTTAAGCATTACCTAAAATTATATTTTTGTGATTTGCGTATAAATTTGAACAATTGAACAATAACCAAACAAGTTAATAATGCATAGCTAATAATACACTGTGGGTTGTGTTCAGGGGCATAAATTATTATACAAATGAATATCGTATTTTTGTATAAACGATATATACGTATTGTATTTTGTAGTTTAGGTTTAGAGTTATTTTTTGGGGAGGGGGATTAATCATTATAGTTTATTGAGACATGAAAGGCTGCGGATTTTTAGTCCAGTTATAAGTATCAAAGTATATGTTGTTTTTTTTTTTTAGTAAATCATATAGAAAACGAAATTATGTATTATTTTGTAAATTTCAATTGGTTTGGGTGAAATAAAGAAAGAAAAGAAACACTGAACTCCATTTATAAGTTCAAGTTTTTGAAATGGTTAAAATTATTTGATACAGCGAGCCTTAATATTAAGAGGAATATTTTCGAGAGTTTTATTAATAAGTATGTTGCCATCAAAGTGATGATTTGCTTCGTTCCGAATATTCATGCATTCGTGAATAAACGGGTTTTGATTATTTGGATTTCCACTATCATGCATTATGACAGCCTGTATATGAGTTGGTGGAGGATAATGGAGTAAATTATATACATTCGATTTTGTATTATAATTGTATAACAACTGTATTGTGACAACTGTATTTTCTCTTGGTTTGTGTTCAAGTGAGCTTTCGACCTCTTTCCAGAATCCTTTGTTTAGGTGACTATTTTGAGAAAAATAATTACGAGCGTTTGGAGTTCCACCATGCAGATGAGGAATTAAGTGTCCGGCGTCACAATCGACGCACGAGTCACGTACCTCCTGTTGTACTTTTTTAGGATTTACTGGACGTGGTAAACTATTATAACCCATATAACGATAGCAAACAAAATTAACGTGACCGTATTTGTTGATGTGATAAAGATTGTCTACGAAAATACTGGAAGAGATTCTTGTTTCGGGTATCCGTAATGTATGGTTATAATCCTGTTTTTGATAAATATGCCTAGGACACTCAGTTGAGAAATGTACGTAGGTATCACCAATTATTATATTACAAATGAACACAAATAAGAGGGATAACCAACAATATACCTGCATCATTTTTTAAAAAAAATGTGAGGTTAAACTATCTTAAAACAATGTGTAATTAATTAAAATGGTGCGTTTTCTCCAACAAAGAATGCCGTGTAGAGTTAAGGTAGGTAGATGGATCGTAACTGCTGTCTGCTGCTGCTGCTCGCTGAGCTGCTTGGCTGTTTTGTCAGCCTCAAAACACTGCAAAATCCAAAAAAATAGTTAGCAGCCGTTTTGTTTGACAAAGAATATTATCATATTTTAAGTTATGATAATGTAATAATATTTTTGTAATATTTATCTATTCTACATTTCTACCTATGTTTGGTATAGTTACTTTCATGAAAAGTGGTCGGGGACTGCAGCGGTCCCAGTGGTTAAAATGCAAAAGTGGTTCTCAGGTTTTTGGGGTTTGGAATAATATTTATGTAGGTAATCAATAATTATTATTGTGGTTTTGGTTTTAAGTTATAACCTATGTTTCTTACTAACAATTTCAAGTAACATTTGGTTGTTGATGATAGTTATCCTAACTGTTTTATGATATTATAATATATTGTATTTACAAGTTCCTTAGTGATTTGGTCTCTGATTAATAAAATTGTGTTGTTTTTTCATTCATAATAAATTCTTTTGATTTGTATTTTCTAATATTTAGTTTCAAATCTGTTAACAAATTATGACTGTCTAAAATCCATATATATTCGGTAATTTCTGGGTATAATTATAGTAAATACTATCAGGGCTACAAAAATTTATTATAACGTCACGTTTATAACGTTAAACAATTCAAAAACGATTGAAATCGATAATGGATACCATATCGGTAAACGATAAACTATTGAAATTGATAACGGATAACGAAACAAAAATAATAAACAATACGTACCCGAGAGTAAAATAAAAATTTTAGACATTGAATATTTTTAAGATCCCAGCATTGATTCCTGATAAACTTTAATATTATGTCATTGCTTTGCAATAAATAAAAGAAATATATTCTGAAAAAAAGAAAGATCACCAGCCGAAATAGTACCAAATGTTTTATGAAAGCTAACTAAGGTCCTGGTTATTAATAGCATAATTTTAACTACGCATAAATCGTGTTTTAGGAATAATTAAAGGATATAAATTATTTTGAGCATACATTTGTAAATAAATCGAAATTACTAATTAAATCATCTTGTAACTTCTTACATTATCCATAGAGTTCACTATCATACCTATACACTTTTAAATCATCAGCGTAGAGTTTAAATAGTATGTTAAGTTTTAAAATCGTATGGTTTTTTGATTAGCAGTGTCTCATACATTTTTTAAGATATTATGAATTAAATATTTTAAACAAATGTGTTTTTTTGAGGTTTCGGTGGTCAACATCATGGTTAAAGAAGTAATGGTTGTAGACTTGTAGTATGATTTTTTCATATTGAATCAGTAGATGTAAATATGTATAGATAAACGTATAAATGAATTAATAATTAATATATTATTAAAATATTATAAATTATGTATGTACTTAACTGATTGTGAATATGAGAGAATAAATCGTAGAAATGTCATCGTTATAATAACGCTACCATGATACCTACCATGTAGAGCACCTCTAGTAGCAGATAAAAAATTAGTAAGAAAGAAAGTTCGTAACTGGGAGTTTATTTTGTGTTAATCAAAACGCTATAATGACCTATCGAATGTTTATGTGTGTGATTTCTATCTCACTACTAAATAATATTAAACTGATGTAAAATCATTGATTGATTACACCATATGTATTCAAATATGTAGGACTTGATACTGCTATAAACCGTTAAATACCGAAACCGAAAACAATTGGAAATTGGTAATAAATTTAAAGTCGAAACTGAAAAATATTTGAAACCGGAAATAAATATAAAACCAGTATGCCAATTAAAAACCGATACCAAAAATAAAATTTAAGTAACGATAGTTTTCTTTGAACATTTTTGGTACATACCTAGAAAATTTTTCAAAGTTTACTTTACACACAAGACGATTTGAGCCGAAACCGAAGGAGTTACAACTGTTACAAGCCCCTGATATAAATAAATTAAATTAATGAATATGAATGAATATTTGCGTTCATTCCGTGAATGAACGTAAATAGTTTAAATGTGTATTTCACTTCTTACCTCACTTGGATGATTTTCTAATATCGTGTGTGACGTGAACGTTGACAATTGTATGGTTATAGTAAGACCATATTATATTGTTCTATGGTTATAGACACTGCACCGTCGCTGTGTGGGCTTAAAGTTTATAAAACGTTGCGGAATCTGTAATCCCCACTGAGTTTTGTCACGCGACATCTGAATTGGACTAGTCCACTTGTTAATGTCATTTTCTCATTTTGAAATATTTTACCATTGTTATTCCCTTGTTGAACATGTCACTTAATCTGTGTTTCATCTTATGCATTTGTCAATGCATGCTATTTGTGGGGTATGTACTGTATCATGCAAGTTTGTTCCACATTATGTAACATGATTATAACCATGCACAAGTATTTATGAATTAAATGTACTTAATTATTGCTTGCAATATTTTTACAAATGTAAATGGAACATCCGAACATAGGGGGCGTATGACTTAATTGATAATGTTTCATTAGCAGTCTCAAAGGACGTGTCGTGATGAAAAATAATTGATACAATCATAATATTGTAACCGAAGCTTCAACAATTATATCTAACACACATTATGTTAACATTAAATTGCACTTCACTCATTTTCTATCATATTCTATAAACGTTTGTATAAAAAATATAGACTTATAACTTTTCATATTCAACAGTGCTGCGTAATCAAATTGTCCAGACGAAGTTATGCTTTGGTATGATTTGGACGTAATATGGATCTCGGTTATAGATCATGGCGGCCATGCGGTATGCAAACAGTTCAGCCTAATGCAGTGATACCACAATAAACAAATTTAAAAAAAGTTAGGACAGGGTAGGTTAATGCCATTCATTGATTTTTTAAATGTAACTTACATATGGCTGCAATCAAGCAAATCAAATAATATTTGTAAGCCCATTAGCATTTAATATTTTTCAACAATACAAAATAAATGTTTATAACAACAAAACAATTGAATTTTTTTTAATAACATCGTTAAAATGAAATTTGTGTTTTGTAAATTAATTTTAAATACAAATTTATTAAAAATCTTTATTACAATAAATACTATTAGTGTCACCAATACATATTTGTATTTATTAAATCGAATAATTAATGCGATTCTATAACCTGAATGATACTTAATAGTAAATCTAAAATCTAATAAAATATACAGGGTACGATTATTATGAATATTTTTAAAATGTTATCATAAAATCTAAAAAACACAACGTATAAATATACGCATGGTCATTATAATTCATAAGAATGTTATTAGAACATTTAATATACAATAGTTTTGGTGGTCCTTTAATTTTAAGCCATTCAACCGAGTATACCACTACAAATGGTGTCATCGTAAACGATTTATATTTAATTTTTAAATATTACAGCGTACTTACTCATAATAATAACTTTAAAAAATTTTTTAAGTTTTAACAACAAAATTTACAAAGTTAAAAAAAACAGAATTGAGAATTGTGTTTTGGCTAAATTTAATTTTACATGGTCATATTTATTACAATAACAGTATTGCACTTAGAAAATAATTAGTGATAATTAGTTTCCAAAACGTTTTCATTAATTTAGTTCTTGTTTTTTTTTAATATATAAAAGTATACCGTATACTGTATTACATTTAAAAAAAGGTCATCCTACATATTTAAAGAACAATATTTATTTTATGTTCAAACAAGAAGTACTGCAGCTCAACGTATTTAGTGCTATAAAATATTATTTCCAAACCGTAGAATAATATTTTCAAAAAATGAAATTCCACTAATATATTACAATTATTCTTTGTAAAATTATAAACTATAATGACAAACAGAAACTTTCAGAAAATACATTAAAAAGGTGATTAGTTATTTTAAACTATGTATAAAATAAAAATGTAATAGATATACTCGGCATATTTGCATGTATCAATAAAGGTATTTGTTTAAAAATTATAACTACACTTTGTAAATGTTGCTTGTCAGAGAATTAAAAAAATTTTATTATTAAAGATTAAAAACCTATAGTAATATATAAAATAGATATTGTCGATTATGTCTTTATAGATTATCAATCATTAAAGGTACTCAAAATCTTAAAAAAATCCCAGTATACCATCTCGTCTGTATTTTACCTAATCTATATTATGTATTTCTAAAAATATATAAAAGTAAATTTATTTTTATATACCTACGTTACAGTTATTAAATGACGACGTTTTCATAATAAAATTGATGATGGCATTTTAGATCCCAAGTCGTAAGGGTGTCGGAGCCAACGCAATTTTAGTACTACAACAATACTTTCAAGAACAGTTCTCATTCCTCGTGAAATAGTCAGGTTTTGATTATTTTTTATTTTTATTTGAAAAAAATGTTTTCATTGTTTTTAATTTGAAATTGTTCAATTTGAATTAGACTTAAATTAAAACCACAGTTTTGAAAATTAGTAATAAATTATAAGCTCCTATGTGTGAAAATGTTTTTAATTCTTTTTCTGGCATTATATTTGTATGTGAATTCAAAAACAGAGTTAGAGAACCTAACCTAAATAAAAGTTTATTCTTTTAAATAAAAAAACAAAATTAAAATCCAGCTGTCCTACTAGGAATCGTTTTTGATGGTTGAAATAGTCTATTTTATTTGTCTGTAAGATCTATTGTACCTACGGCCAACCCATGCAACGTAAGTCGTAACTATAAATTACCTGCATTTTTACCTCTCAATAAATAACCAAATCTAATTCCATTAAATGTGCAACTTAATGTATCTACATCTCATAAAGCTGTAGCTGTATAATAGTTTATGGATTAAACGCAAATAGTGTTTACTTTAAAAATAATTTGTCGTGGAACTTTGGTTGTGTAACTTAGAAACTGCAGTCGAATCTGTGAAGCAAAAAAACTAGTGAAATAAATTATCCAGCTATTTTAACGGGGTCTCTGACCAAGGTTTTAGTTCACCAAGAATTATTGCATAGTTACGCCCATGCATTTTAAACAAAACCTTGACCATTTTTTTGTTAACCTGCTACCGCTTATGGAATCATTTGATGAATACAAAAGATATAATAAATTAAATACTAATAGGATAGGTACTAAGTCGGTTAAGATCTAAAAACATATTACACTCAATCACTGTATCTACTTGTTTATACAACATCAGGGTAGATACTGATGTACCTACTACTTAAAAAAAAAACTTAAGTAATAAACTAAAATTCCATTTTATTCTTTAAATTGAAACAAAATATTATGTATACGTTTGTAAATCTATTATTTGCATTTAACATACACAAAAAATGCAGTGTTATTAATTTGTTGAACACGTATTAAAAAAATATAATGAATAATTCATAAAATTTAAATCTAAAAAAAAGTAAAAATTAATTAAATTAAGTTTTAAATCTTGATCGTTTTATAATTAAAATAATTCAATTATCCTCTCTTGATGATATTCAGACCGTTCGCACTGTGAGTATAGTGTTGTTTCTTGGGTAATCCATATTTAACTGGCCAAAAATCCACCGTCCACTGGAATTGAAACACCATTTACGTAGGTAGAATAGTCACTGAGCAAAAATAGAGTCACATTTGCGACGTCTTCGCACTCTGTAAATAAATAAACAAAAATATAATAATATGAAAATTATATTATTATATTAATATAATATTAAAACAATAATATATTTTGAGGATTTATAATAGTATTTAATTTAAAATTAATATTAAGTAAATATCTGTACAATTTGAATATAAATTATCTAAAACTTATCCAGTTGAAGCACACTATATTATTATAAGCTGCTTTAGATACTATGATACAATCGAAATTGTTCAATACATTTATAAATCATCAATAGGTGTGACAAAATGTACACTTATACGAATAGGTGTTGTCTTAATGTCTGAAATCAGCTATATTGTTTTCCTAATTTTCCATAGGTATTAATCAGGTACATAATTTTTTCAAATTTTCAAACAATTAATCATTATAATGTTTATATCATATTTTTAACTTTTAACTGGAGCAAAACAAAAACGGTAGAAAATACAATATAGTTTTAACCTGGGCGAAATCAGGTAATACAGCTAGTCACATGTAAAAACAATTTATTTAAACAAATATCACTTAATTACTTTTACTTCACTACTCATTTTGGATAGGTACTATTTAAAACATTTTATACTTTTAAATTATTTGCGTTGTTCAAAAGCTAAATGATGATACTTTAGCGCATAATATTGTATACAGTAATACTCGAGTAACTAATAATATCAACTGAAGTTTTCATGTACATACTCGTATTACTATGCATTGGTATTATCAATTTGAAAACTAACATAGTATTATGATATCGAAGAATTCCTTTTTTTAAACTCGGTACCTACACTGGGCCATTTTAATTTTTATAATAGTATTTAATTAGGTTATAAGAAATCAGCTTTAAAATCGCATGCAATACAGTTCAGTACTTACAAAATGACTATCTACTGAAACTGAACAGTTTGATTTAGTTCATACTTCGTAGGTAATCACTTCATTTAAATCTGCATTATTGTTAAGTTTATTTGTACGATTTAATTGGTTAATTAAGGATTCTTAAAAATTGAGGGATTGGGTCATGTAGCTAAGTGTCTATGTATTAGAATTATTAACATAATATAAAATATAGTTGAAAAAATCGAGAAAAATTGTATGGAACAAAAAAAGAAAGAACAGAAGAAGAAAAATAAGTGATAGCTTGTTTAGAACAAACGACTACCAGAAAAACATTCTTGAATTCGATGAAATCTAGATCTGTGTTAGGTATGTTTAAGTATTTACCAGCAAATCGTCCAAGTGGTATTCTACTTAAAATTGGGTTGGATTTAGCTGGGTCGGACCATGCTTTAGCACCCATTTTTGTCATAACCACGGTCGGGTTGACGTTGTTTGTACGGATACCCAATTTTCCGAGCTCGATACTCATAACTCTTGTCACTTGATTGACTGCACCTTTTGATGCACAATACGATGTGTGGTCTGGAATAGCTCTCTAAAATGATAATTTAATTAATACATCATAATAATAAATTCACTTGTTGTATTTATAGGACCATAAAAATAATTCATAAAGTAAATAAATCGCTTAAAGATTAAAACATTACGTTTGAATTTAATACACACCCAATGTATTATATTAAATATATTATGTTTATGTATGTGCACAGTGCAGTTTATACATACAATGCAATTAAAAATCAAACTTTGTTGTTAATTTTTGAGGAATAATTAATATTACAAGTTTGTTTTTCTGAAATTACTTCAGCGTATAATTTTAAACACTCTTGGAAACATTTGGCCAGTTTTAATAATGATTATTATTTAAAAAAGAAACGGTAAACTTTTTAAGACCTATTGTATTTTTCATTTTTTTCACTTCAATTCGTCTCAAAGTAGGTAGGATCAGATAGATATATGTATAGTCATATGTTTTTATGATGAATTAACCATTAATTTATTATAAAGTCATAGAAGTGATGGATTGTTAAGATTCATGATTTCATAAATTAAGAGCTTAACAATAATCGTATAATATTAAAATAACTAATAAAAATAATTAACTCCAGCTCTTGTAACTGCATAATAATTATGAGTAGTATTATAGCTATAAAAATAATAGTTCGATTGTGGGCCGACAACAATAATAACAGTTTACAAGAACAAGTTCATTATGATAAATTTTAATTATCGATATCACATCTATGAAGTATTATATTAGTGTATTTTCTAGGATGCGAATAATAGGGATCGATGGAATAGAAAAGCGGTAGTGGCGATGGATCTACATGGTCCGCTAAGCTGTTAAGAAGAAGATTGGTATATTTTCTAGGTTAGGTTAGGCTTTCTGAGATAATAGTTTATTAGTTGTAAAAATGTAATTGGGTCAATATTAAACGATAGTACAACGACAATACGTGTAATAATTATTTTAAGGGCTGAATGTGACTCACGGTAACAATTTATGGCCGTACGAAAATCACTATATTATATACCTACCTGCAGAGCGAAGATTTATACACTAAAAAGTATCAAAATATGACATAGATATAATATTCAATAAAAATCCTGAAAATATGCAACAGATATGCAAGAAAAAAATTATAATTGAGTAATATTATGGTAAAAAGTGTACGATTTGTAATTAGTAATTATTATTATTAGTTTATAAATTTTATGAGGTATTAAAATAATTAAAAACAAATTAAACAAATTATAATTATAGGTATATACTTAGTAAACTTATCATTATTTCAATAACTATTTAGTGCCTAGTAATATTATTTATATAATATAATTGTCATAAGTTTCAAATAATATGATTCGTAAAGATCACTGACGAAAATACAAAAATGTGAAAATGGAAAAATGGAAAAATATACAATTGAATAATAATCCAAACTCTACAGTCATGAGCCATCATCGTGTTCCATTTTTTTTTTTTTAAGCTATAATAATATTATTAAATTTCATACATACTTCTGAAATTGTTGAGGACACGTTAACGATGGATCCTTTAATTCCAGCGTTCTTCATGTTCTCTGCTACAGCCTGACTTATGCGAACGATTCCTCTTGCGTTGATGTTTAATGTTCTGGGAAATCAAATGTTATGTTATATAACAATATTACGAGTATGATATAGATTGGTGTTGATTAACTATTCAAGCGAAATACTATTATTAATTTTGGGCGAAATTCGGTTCATTCTTAAACTTGTATATTATTATCACCGATAAAACCAAAATCGACATAATTCTGTAATACGCATATCATAAATATGATAATATGATTCATAATATTGTTGATGTATGAGAATATGTTATAATGTGCCGACATTTCGGATAATCACTACAATTAATGTCAAATGCATTCATAATAACATAGTGTAATATTGTAAATACAAAATCATGTGATAAGTCCTCTATGCGTTCATCTGAAAATCCCACGTTTGAAATATTCAAAATCTACAAATTTACAAATATGTACGGCGTATAATACCAATAAAAATCTTTTAATTTTATCTCACTTTTTCATGAACAAAAAGATTTCGAATCAATTTTATATTATTGAATTTACATTATATTATTCTGTATATAATGTTTTGATAAACAAATCATTTTTAAACCTGTACGCTTATTATTACTCGTGCAATTATTTAATTTTAATTTGTTTTTTTATCTATGAAATTATTATCGTGCAAAGTAACTCTCGAAATGATAAGATAAAAATATTGTTTACTATTATTCTGTAAGCTCTCTTTTTATGTAGTATACTATGTATCTAATTAGGCGTATTCATAAAAAAAAACTATATAAACTCAATTTTCAATATAGCAATCCAACCCATTTATACTATAGAAAAGGTGCATGGTGTATCATTAAAAACGTAATGATTTAGCTTAGATAAAAGCAATAATATGATAAGCGTTTGGAAGGAACGCAATTGGCGATGAACGATTTTAACGGTCTGAATTAACTCGATGTTCACGTTGAAATTTTGCTAATTACACGTGAACGACTCTCATTTATATCGTAAAATAAAACGTGAACGAAATTCGTACATTTGACTTATAACTTGGAACCATTTTTAGGTCATTCAATGAAATTCATTCTTTAAAATGTGTTTTTAATATTATTATCATATTATTGTATCGACAAATAAATAATATGTACAAATTCACATTAAAATACAAAATTTAAAATTTTTTTTTAAATGTACCTATACATACCTATACAATTTTAAAAATACGTGGTATCGGCTAAGCATTCAACGCGAACAACTTAATTTGGTATTTATCTTAGTGTTGAGACATATGTCGTATAAATTATACTTAATAAGTAATAACTATATTAACTATATAACTAATAAAATGGAATAATCTTGGCATTTAAGAATGTTTAGAATTTAAATTCTAAACATTCCTTCCTACTTAATAGAAATATTTAAAAATGTATTTCAGTCTTCTATAATAATAAATTATAATATTGATAGAATAGTATCAAGTTTTTAGGCTAAGTAAAAATAATGAAAAAAACATACTTATCCCATCCTTCTTGTGTCATGTCAAAGAAAGATTCGATAAAGGCAACTCCAGCATTGTTCACCAAACCGTGGACTGGTCCCAATTTTTTAATAATATCATAGGAGTCCCATTCGCCCACATCTGCACAAACTGGAGTTAGGTAAGGTCCAGCGGGTGGTAATTTCTTTGCGTCACGTCCAACAGCGAAAACGTGAGCACCCAACGACACTAGGCGGTTAGTAATCGTCTCACCAATTCCTGTATTCGCAATTTAAATATTAAAAAACTATACTACAACATTTAGTTGCCCGTACATAATTTTATTGTACACTCTATATAGATTTAAATAAACTATACGAGTATGAGTATATTCAGGGTATATTAGAATATATATTCCTATATATTTTTCTATATTTTGAAACCATATCTATATTTCCTCAATTTTCTTTGCAAAGGGGAAAATATCAAGTAGCATGCACATTATTTTTGGATAGTTTAAAATCAATGCATTTTAATTTATTAATTTTTAATACCAAGCAATAATTTATAACCCATTAAAAACCTATTGTTGTTAAGCTCAGAAACGATAAAAATCAGATAAAAATACATTATCTCTCACTTAAATATTATATTATATTATCTTTTTCACATTAATAATGTTTTATTGAAATGTCGATAATTTAATGTTTGTTTGCAAAATTCATTCAGAACAAAATAAAATAAATTTGTTTGAGTGATTATAATGTATTTATACGGTTCGCAATGCAATTGATAAGTCCTAATTAGCCTAGAGCAGTGTTTCCCAACCGGTGGTCCGCGGACCACCGGTGGTCCGTGGGCCAGTCATAGGTGGTCCGCGGTACCTTTCTTAGTTTTCTATTAAAACTGCAAAATGACTCTGACTGCAAAAATATGTTTGATTCTGGTATGAACCTTGAGGAATTTTGGTGCAGAAGGGCAACATTACATATTCAACTACGGGAAATTGCCTTACGTTATTTAGTAGTATTTTCAACTACGTATTTGTGTGAACAAGGATTTTCCAGTCTACTTGTGATCAAAAATAAACAGAGAAATCGCTTGGACGTAAGTGACGACATGCGTTTAGCCATTAGCAACATTCATCCGAGAATTGAAAAACTGGTCAAAGAAATGCAGCCACAAAAATCACACTAAGTAAATTATTAGTAAAGTTTAATAATTAAATAATTATATATAATAGTACAGTAAAATAATAAAAAAATTTTAATACATTTTGTGTATTCTTGTTAATGAGCAAAAAAAAAAAAAAAGGTCTTCCTAGTTTGTGTAAAATTGAGGTGGTCCGCGACCTATAAAATATTGTGGAAGTGGTCCGTGGTGGTAAAAAGGTTGGGAAACACTGGCCTAGAGAGTAACTACCAATATACCGCAGTAATCATACCTTTTTCAAACTTTGTTTTCCTATGAACGTACAACTTTAACCATAATAATTGCACAGCACTTTAGTTATAAACAACTAGTAAGTATAATATACTTAGTACTTAATACTGCTGGAAGTTAACATATAGGCACAAGTATAGTTTGATTTATTATTATCTTCAAATATTTTATTTTATTTAATACAACTCATTAGTTGTGCCTAAGAATGATACTATCTATAAATTAGTGCATTTATTTAAAATCAACATTGTTGTCGAATAAATCACAAAATAAAATTATGTACACTGCCTACTGATATAGGGATATATCGATGAATACCTATGACAAACCTACTTTAAAATACATAGGTACTATTATTTGAAAAAAAAGTATTAAAAAATTAAAAGTTAAATTAAAATATTATACACATCAAATGTTATAAAATCATTTGTCTGTAAAAAATCATAAAAATTGATCCAATATAGTAACTAGCAAAACATAATTCACATGACACATAACTTCTACAATTGGAACAACACATGAACATCAAATGTATACGATTGAAAACGAATCTGGTTTTTGTTTTTATGTACTCACAAACATTTCGTAAGATAATTTCGAATTATTTCGAAAGTCGGTCCAAAGAAAACCCGTTTTGAAATATCAATAAGTAAACCCGTCAGAAAATAATAATATTGAAAAATATTCACACGTAATCATCTCATAAATAATTCATAGTAGACCTAATTTAAAGAATGATAAAAAAAACTTATGTTTAACATGGCATGGAATATCGAAAAAACAAAGTATTATCACTATTATAATGTTAGTTTAACCTACCGATCGTTTTTCCACATTAACAGTAAATTTTGAATTGTTTTGCAAAAGACCCTTACCCGCGTTAGCGCCGGTGACGATGAACTTTTTGCCTTTGAAGAATTCTTCCATGTCGTCTAGTTGTGAAAGCTTGTGAATTTGAACGAATTATTACAATAATAATATTATGAACAGCGGTAGGCTGCAGTGGTTCGATTGCGCGGGTAGGCGGCACTGAAGGTATATGGTCAAAGTGGCTGGCCGATTGATCGTATTTATATTGTTTTGCCAGCCATACCCGAGCCGTTATCTCTGGAGCACATTATATAAATATAATATAGTATAATATTATTCATTCGCCGTGTTCGCGCGCCTGTTGTTTTTGTTGTTATTATTTTATTCGACTTAATTACCGGCCGACGAAACTAATTTAATTACCGTCGGTGTATATTATTATATCATATTATAGTACGTAATATAAAAACACTCATAGGTCGTAGGGCAGTGTCAAATTGGTTCGAAACGAATATTATATTATACTATTTTCGTGATGTTGTTATGCCATTGCCGCAGATGAAGGTCACACCTCGGTATTTCGTTAAAATAACAAAGTTTGTGCCATCTAGGTATTTTTCATTTTTTTCTTCTTTACTTTTCATCACTGCGTGGAATATGACAATAAATTTGGTTACTTGTTTATTTATTTCCTAAGAAATGCAAGCCTTTTTTTTACACATTTTGATAATTGTGTATAAAAACATAAGAGGTAGACATCAGCAATTAAAATATAACAAGATACATACACATAAGATAAAAATAAAACTGAGTGTAAAATTGTATACCGAACTCGATAATACTGTGTCTATCATTTTATGTAAATTGTAAATAAAATTTTTGTAAACAAACTTTAGAATTCGGTCAAATTTAAAAAAAACATTTAAAAAAATATATACATTTATTATATAATATGAAATATTAATTTATAATATGCAAACGAAATAACTAGTTAAATATTATCGCACCTAATCAATTAATGTATTATTCAAATGTCTTTTAAGGGCACGAAATGTATTATTATAATCATACGTTCTATGTTCATTGTATATCTGATCAAATATTATTACAATTTTTAATGTAAAATTCAGTTTTGAACTGGGTTATATTAGTATACATTTTTGTACAACTATAACCAATGGTTAATTTTAAAATACTCCTTACTTTAGTTTATTTTATAAAAAAAATTTGAATATTCTAATAACTTAAACAATAATCTAAATATATTCTGGGTATCAATAAATGTTTAATAAAATACAATTTTCTAATTGAATATGATATTTAAAAAATCATACAGCGTCTGTATATCATACATAACGTTGTTTTAATAATTAAAAGGCGATATTCTAAAAATGATTAATTACTTGCATTGTATTATGGATCATAATTGATCAGTTTATGTAACAGCATACAAATCTTAAGTAACATAAGTACAATTATGATTGTATTTTGTATGCATTCGATTTTTATAGACATGCCAAACATTTTCCAGACACACCAAATACCGTCCATTGGTACTAATGGTTAAAAAAGGTTGTGGTCATATTTTTTTGTTTTTCATCATAAGTATTTACAATATATATTTTGAGATTCTATGGACATTTATAATTTGCGGTGGATATCGTTGATAATGACTTTTAAGAAGTCAGGGAAAATAAATCATTAAACCGAACGCCAGAACAACAAAACATTAAAATTTACCTATTACAAGACTGAAAACGCCTAAACGGTGAAAACGGTATACGTTATATTTTATTTTAATCGCAAAATACTAGATCAGATTAGTATGCAGTATATTATTAAAAATTAAAGTGAATGTTCAAAATATAAAATAAAAATAGATCAACTTCTTGTTAGCATTACAAAACAAAACCTTGAAATTAATTAGAAATTATTCAAATTATTTACCATCATTGGTATAGCTACATCATGCGATACATGTCCAATTCGTCAATACTTATAATATTTACGAAGTAATACATGTTTAACTAAAATATAATACTTGAATTCCTATATATTTATGTTCATTCTTTTAATCCTTACATTTTTTTCGAAAACTACAAACGTTATTTTTGCCTTCAACGAATAACAAGTTTTACGCATTTTACGCAAACATAATACAGTGAGTATGGTCAGTTGAACATTATTACGATATTAATTTACCCATTCAATTTTTGATGTCGTTTTTGACACTGCCAAAAATTCTAAGTATTATGATCCCCCTGTAACAATAGTTTTGAAGCTATTCCATGTCAACATATTTTACAACTTTACAAGAACATTACCTACTCGCCAACGTTGGCATACGTCCTGGCAGTTGCATGTCTGTAATGGTTAGGGTAACTGCTGCTTCGTGCCAACGTTTTTTATTTTTATTTAAGTTTTTTGTTCTTTAGTATATTTTACGGTAACTGTTGTATAATAGCCGTAAGTTGTTTTCGAGTACAATTTGTAGTAATTTGTGAGGAAAATTCCATAAATAAAAATACCACCCATAATAAACATAAAACTATAATATTATTTATCTTTGGCCCTGTTCCTTACAACCATAATATTTTCTGTCGCTGTAATCGTATGTCCGCCACATTATTTGAAAACGTTGAATATGAAACAACAATTTTACTTTTCAGATTTTAATTTTATGAGACTACAACAAATTTCTACAAAAGCCTAAAAGTCAATCATTTCTATCGTCGTTATAATTCATTTGAAAGGAGATCTTATATTCTTATTACAATATGCTTTCACCTTGTATTCAGAATCAGTGAATAAGTCATACAAATGTCCTCTCTTTCATTTTAAAGTTAGTTAAATTTTTTAAGTATATCTGCAGAGTTATAAGACGAAACTTTGTGAGGGAAAATATATGACGCCATCACTTTACTTTTTCTGTCCAAACATTATAAATCATATTTCTCGTCCAACCTGGAATGTTATCAAATTCAAAAAAGAAACTTAAAAAAAAAAAAAATCAAAATTGTGTGCACGAATTTTAAATGGGCTTTTGATCTGGTGGAAATATAATATAGTGATTAAATTCCTAGTTATTATACATTATGAGCCTAGACCTTACACAACAATAGCTACACAATAAATGTAGGTACTTACTATCCACACTTTAATATTACAATTTAACTCAAATTATACAGTTTATTATTATTATTATTTTTGTTGTTGTTGTTTTTGAATAGTATAATATGGTATTATACACATGTATAATTATTGAGATAGGATTTTGGGATTTTCGTTAATTAGATATTAAGCTTAAATAAATAACTTCATTAGATAATATTGTGTAACAGTGTGTATAATGTACAATCAAATTAAAAATATAAGTCATTAAATACTAATTGGACTAGTTCAAATAAATGATAACTTCATTCATACTTATCAAGTTAGTACCTATTAGTTATAAGTATTAACCATAGTCCACACGAGTGTTGCTTACTATTTGGCTATCATAGATTATTGATTAAAGTTTCTCGAACATTCTATACAATTCGAAAACATTAACGTTAATATTGATAGATAAATTAAGTACCTAGGTATTTTTAAAAATCTTTTATATCATATTTTGACCTTATTAGTTATATTATCGTATTGTATTTACCAGTTCAAAGGTAGGTGATTAAAAAATAAATATAAGAAAATATTTACAATAACATTATCAATATATGTGTAAGTATACATTTATTATTTATTCACAAATTAAAACTTAAGTGGTGTACTCTTAATTTCATATATTTGTAATTGTTTATTTATTATAATTGATAAGAATAATTTTTCAATAAAAAATTGACTTATAATACTTCACCTAAAATATGATCAAAGAAGGAAAGAGTGTTCCGCATCATCTGAGTACCCGAAACAGTATTTAATTTCTAACTAAAACAGAAATTAGTATAGTTTAGTTTAGTTTATAACAAAACTGGGCACCTCACCATAAAAGGTGAGGATACGGTTAACGCTCTTCAATAAAATAAGTGACTAGAGGAATCACTGGTTATAATAATATGTAAAAACTAAATTCAATGATATTATTATTACACATTTACGTCATCATTATATAGGTAGGAAAAACAATTCTGAGCGAAGACAATCTGTCATCTGTTAGCCAATATTATAAACTAAATTTTATGAAATTATTGCACTATTAAAATAATTTACAAGATGATTGTAGATTTACTCATAATAATTTTTTGCATTTTCATTTTTATTTTAAAAAAGTATGACATATATAAGGTACCTTAAATTAAATTTTCAAGTTTTTTAAATGAGGGGAAACTCTGTTATCGAAATTAATTTTTAAAAAAAACTAATAAAAGTCGAAAATTTTTTATGCTTTTAAGTCAAATTACTTTAAACATTTTATGGTGTATACAAGATTAGAATATTAGCATTCGGTGAAAATATTGTATGTTTAAGGTTATTTTTATTTAAGTTACCCCAAAAATCAAAATTGATTTTGTCAAAACTGATTTATTTTACTTAAATCTTCATTTTTCCTTCCTTAATTTTTTTTTGTTTTTTCCGTCGCTTTTGAATGCTACAAAAAATTGTTCACTTTTGTCCACTCCTCCTTCCAGGTAATAAGCAAATCTAACATTACTTACAGAAAAGTTGTTGAAATAGAAATTAAAAGCATTTTTACAGCCCTAAAAAGTGAAGACAGACACAAGCAATTAAACTGGAAAAAAAAACGGTTGTAAAATCTAAACATTCATCGATCCTCTAAGAATCTAAAAAAATTTTCTTTACCAAATTACGTTAGTAAAATGTCAAAAGTTTGTAAATGCTTACTAAATATAAATATGAATTTACGATACCAATATAAACTTACTACCAAACTCGACCTGCACAGCCACGGAAAAATTGAATACCCATGTATTTACCACTTCTTAAACTCAGTTAAATGCACACTTGACCCTTCACAGATTTTTAATTCTGTATATTCAATTTGTATTATTATATAATTTAATTTTACTTCGAGTTCGGGGTTGCACATTCTAGAGTACATGATTTTATTATTTACAAAATGTCGGAACCGTAAGTGCCATAGACTTGACACACATATTCACAAAAAAACTGTCATTTATGAATATAGATTATGGGTAGTAATATTATAGACTACGTTGAATGTTAATAGTTCATGTTTTGGGCCACGTACATTTTATAAAATAAATTATTATATAATATCATAGGTATGTAGAAATATAGGTTAGTTTAAGCTGGTAGAAAAGTATTATACACAGGTACCAATATTACACACCTAGGACCTGTATAAAATGCTTATGTACGCGGAAACAAATTATTAAAAATAAATACATGCATATGTTCCTAATTTATTGGTAATTGGTATTTATTTGTATACACCCATAAGATACGGCTACGATAATGGAGCGGATTTTTATCGCGCACAATATTTCGTGTTTTTTAAACATAAGTACATATTTTTATAAGGGTGAAAAAATTCCAAAAAAATACCTATTTCCCAATATTAAAACAAAGACAAAAATACACTTTTGTAAGATTTTTGCAGGAAGTTTTTCAAGTAGGAAAATAGTTAGATATGTTTGAATACGATAATAGTACAATTAACCCAAGTTAAAACCTAACACATATATTATTGCTTCAGAAGTGAATAAGTTAGAAGTTGAGTTATGGAAAATATAATTCTCATAACTTTAAAAATCCTTTCACACATTATTATCTAAAGTAATAGGTTCACATTAAATGTATTAATACATATTACACAACTTATAATTTATCATTTCGTTATTTTATATTATATTATCATCATACAAAAATCCAATTAAATTATAAATATTAATAAGCAGCTTTTATCTACAAAAGTGATTATTCCAGTTAGGTTTTATTGTTTGCTCAGCATTAATAAGTATTGATAAATAAATAAAAATAAAAAACTATAAATACAATATATTTGTATAGTTATATATATAGCCATATATGTACAAATGATGGAATCTTATGGTCGCAAGAGTCACAGACTTTTGAACGTAAGTAACTTTATTTTAGCCTTTAGACTTGGCGATGAAAATAAGTATTATTGTGTGTCATAAATACACTTTTCAGTAAAAAAAATTTTAACAAGTACTTAATCCACTGATTACGTATAGTCCGACCTATGAAAATGTGCACACATTTTTTAATTGTTTTCAATCAAATATTATTAAGAATGCAACATTCTCTATGACTTGTAAAAATTTCCCAAGTAATAAATAGTCAATAATAGCTCAGAATTCCAAACCCTGGAGTAGATCCAATTCAAAATCTGACTTAAGGTTTCTTCAAGTCAAACCGGGTCAATTGACTATCGTCTCAGCATAAGACTACCACGCAGGACGAGGACATTCTCATGATATTAATCAATAACACCACTACATTACTAAATCCTATAATAGTTTATAGCTACTAATTACTTAGATGCTACTGGCCACTCACGTTATCATAATGTAATATTAGTTACCTACATATTCGTTTATCGCTATTACTAAAACAAAATATGTGCATAACCTTTTATCAGCCTTGGATATAAATAATGCAAGTTAGAAATGACTTTTATTGTACTAAATAATTTTTTTTTAAATAATTATTTATTGAAATTGAAAATGTAATCCAATTATATCTAAGTACTGAGTACAAATTATTAATAGTTTTATTACACTTGTAAAAAAAAAATTATCAAAATTAATTTTGGAATTTTTTCTATAAGTAATACAATAACAAAAACTTCATATCATAATAGGTAACTTTAAAACCTTAGGGTACTCAAATTAAAGTCGATGTTCATTTTTAACTAGAAATCTATTTACAGTGTGTTTCTCAAAGCATGCTCACCCCCTTTTTTTCTTCAATAATGAAATAATGCAGTAATTCGAAATCTGATCTTTAGATTTTGTAAATATTCTGAGGGAATACTACCATAATTTCAAATTCTTGAGATTTGTTGTCCTACTTCAGGAGTGTCCTGGGAAAATACAAACTTCTGTTGAACCCCCAATTATAAATGACTTAGTTCTGAAAATGTTGACGTGCCTAATTCAAAATTTGAAGAAGTAATTTTTGAACATTTTAGTGATTTATACTAATTTATAAGCATCGATAATTTGTAACAATGGTTAAGTATAATAAGTATTAGATCCTATATTAGGTACCTACATCTGATCTATATTTATGTAAAACCATTTTTAAAGAATTTGAAAAGTGCTTTGAGCATATTTAAAAATCTCAAAAATCAGAAAAAAAAAGGTTAAAAATGGGGATCAGCATAATATATTGGTGAATCTCTGTTTATAATGATTGGTAATTGCTATACATTTTAACTAGAAAACAATTAATAAATATTTAAAATGTTTTAAAAGATTTTTGTTAAAATGTTAACTTCAATTGCTTATAATCATAAATTGAAAAAAACCCTTTCACCATTTTATACAGAATCTAAAACTTAAATACTCATAAATACAAAAAATGATCTATATAAAATTTAAAAATCGGTTAGTCAAATTATAGTGTATTTTATTCATTTTTTATAGTGTACCTATCGTAGGATTTAATTTAAATAAATAAATATAAACTGAAACTGAATAATAATATGTGTTGTTACAATATCGTAGTTAAATTTATTAGCTGGTATTATCAAATAGTACCAATTATAAAACTTACTGAAAAATAATTTAATATTCTCTAACATATTTTTTTGTATCTAATTAGACAAGCCTTAGAATCTAATCGATTACGTTTGCGAACTTTATAATATTATAATTAAGAGTATAATAATATAATACAACTGCACGTGAAACATCTGTGTATAATATATTAATATGATATAATATGCATACAGGAGCGTACATTATAAAATCATTATTAGTTAGGTTTATAGAAATATTTTAATGATGCTAAATTAATACGAATTTCAAAGTATTATTATGGTCGAATATTATAAGATTCAATCGTAAAGAACTTAATAATAATTAATGAAGTGGCCTGGTGTGGTGCGGACACAAAATATGTTTTGAGTTCAAACACTGACGGGTGTCACTAATTCCCGGATGGGCGACCACCCTGATTTTTAGTGACAAATCGTCACCATATAATGGCATATATACAAGTGGTCTAACCATACATTCTCCCACAGTAATAAACCTACTAAAATAACACAGGACATGAGATATTGAAGCCCTAACTAAATTTTAATAAACAAAAATAGTTAAAATACAATAATTAGTTATTTAACGAAATTATGAATATTTTAAATCAACGATGACGTCTTTCAGTTTTTGATGATATCGTGTAATATTGTCGATGACAAACTTTTCTCCAGGGCTTAAAACCGTTCTCAATAAAGTCGGTAATCGGCTCCGGAAGGAGCCGAAAATTTTTGAAAACCGGTAACCGGTTATCGTTTTACTTTGATATTTTGGTAACCGGTAACCGTTTCTTTAAAGATATTTCAAACACTATGATAACCGTTAATCGTTTAAAAACCGTTAGATTTGTTGGTAATCGGTTACCGGTTAAAACCGGTTTTTAAAAATCATTTTTTTAAATTTTTCAATCATATTTTTAAAA